CAGGCATGTCCAAAGTCCGGCCCGCGGGCCAATTGCGGCCCGTGTTCTCGTTTAATATGGCCCCACGGGTAATTTGGCAATATCTATCTTTTATGGCCCCCAACGAATCCATATGTATTGAGATGAATACATTGTAAAATCTCAGTTAAAGTCAGTTGGTCTAAATCAGTTATAAATATATTTGGACACAACATGTATACTTGGTGTTATGTTCCTGTTCATATTTTTTGAACTTAAAAGTTGACAGACAACCTTTATTACCAATAATATGTAATGTACTTTACAATGTTCCTGACATATATTTCAGCTTCCTGGATTTTTTTTTTCATCTGGCCTTCAGATATGAAAGGCAGAGTGATTTAACACCTGTTTAGATTTGTCATCCATGTGACGAAATGAAAAGTATGCCGTTTGCATAAAATAGTTAATTTGCATTTAATTTTAATGGTTCAAAGAATGTCAGGCAAAATGGTCGGCCCTCACGCATGTTCACTTCATCAAATCTGGCCCTCTTTGAAAAAAGTTTGGACACCCCCTGGTGTAGAGGCTTCTGCAATATACTGCGACCCAGTTCTACCCTCCTGTCCACATACACATCTTCGGAGCGTGGCGGACTCTGCCTAGGGCAGGGGCTGCCAGAACACTGCTCCAAAGAGCTCTCCCATGAGTTTCCCCCCCTCACACCCAACATCCTCCCAAGCTCCATGACACCCACTGAGTTACTGATCCCCAAAGGGGAACGGCCGAGTCACATATGAGAAAGTTCCTGCATCAGAACAAGAATCAGCAGCAAACAACTAATTTTTTGTACTCACAGCCTCCCCTGGACCCTCTATGACACCACACTGAACAGCAGTGCTGTGGCTCTGTGGCCTCATGAGGTGCTCCCTAGCTAGATGGAGGCTGGAGACATCCCACTGAGAGTCCTGACAGAATCCAACAAGGCTGTACGGGGCACAGCAAGGAGGAAGTGCTATGGAACGCGCTAGAGATCCGGTAATTTCTCACCGAGGTTGCCGATGGGAGTGGTGATTGGACACTGGCACAGAGAAGAGGCAGCTGGCTATTGTGGGAAACCTCCGTTGACTTTACATAGTGGTCAGAGGATGAGGCCCTATAGCTTGACAAATGAGAACCATCCACCAGGCAGGGAGAGAAGAAAACTAGGGGGTTAACTGGGAGTGCTGAAGTGGGCTGCAGACCAGACTCGTCTCCAGGTTTATCTTTCTATACCTTGCGGCTCATAACAACTAGCTTTTTTTGAGCTGCCTTTGAGTTACAGACAATTGAGTACCTACATCTGTACATCTCTCTCAGGGACCAGCAAGCAGATACGTTTTCATCTGTGACAAAGTATATATAAACTTTTTTTAAAAAGGAGTAAAATTCTGTCAGTCATATTTTTATTTTATATATAAATAAAAAAACTCTCCCCCTCCCCCATCATAAAATCTCCATGTTTTCTACCCTAGGCAGTGTTCTTACAGAATAAGAAATGAAGCAAGACTATCAGGAAAGCTACCCATGTGTAGTTACAATCTATATATTTGCTCAGCTAACTCTCTGAACCCTCATTAGGAGGGTAGAGGAATAATGCATAAGTCTGGGGGTATAAAGTGGAGTTTGAAAGGCCTAGCAAATAACTAGAAGTTGAAAGACTAAATGCACTAGTGAAAGGCAAGGGTGAAATGGTTCACTAGTGAAGACAAAGTCCATAGTCCCACATGCAACACATGGCTGCGGTAAGGGGAGGGTACTGTTACTGAACTCTGTGGCGTGCCTCCCTTTTCACATAGTTATCTAGGTGCAGTTATTGTAAGACTCCATGTGCCTCTTGCTACTAGAAGGGAGAAGATGGCTTACGTTCCTTCTTCCCATCAAAGCAGCAACGTAGCTAGGAGGAGGAAGAAAGTGGTGGAAAGCTTCCTCTTCCTCCTCCAGCCTGTTTTATGGTTTCTCCTCCCTTTCAAGGAGTGCCAGTACCTGTTGCCTCTGAGGCTCACTGGCGCAACTCGATTGTGTCACTGATGCCGTACGGTTTTGGATAGTAGCCATGAAACCAATCTCGTTAGTTTCACACTGTTGCGGCTTGATAATGCTATTGAGTAGACAAGGGAGCTGTAGATCCAGGAAGGAAACTGCACTTGCTTTTGTCTGATCCTATGCAATCACAAGGCTTTTTAAAAAGTTGACGCTTGAATCCTACAGAAATTGCTAGGCTACAACATAACTCACTTCTGCCCTAATAAATCTGAGAGTCTCCAAGGTGCCACAGGACTCCTCATTGTTTTTGCAGACGCAGACTAACACAGCTGCCCCTCCAAGACTTTTCACTTGAGAGTGGCGAGCAGCAGAGAGGTTTTGGGTTGTTTTTTTCCCCCCAAATCCTTGTATTATTATGTGCATTAAAGTAGCATTTAAAGTCCCCAGTCAGGACAGGGCCCTGTTGCACTAGATATTGTACAGGCATTGTAGAATCGGTCTCTAACCAAAGAGTTTAGACAGGGAGAGGGGGCTACATACCCTTCTTGCTTAGCCCAGCCAGCAGTATGGAAGTTTAAAGCAAATACCCGGAAGATTTAGTTGCAAATAGTTTGCAAGGTAAGGGACTGAGAAAAGGAAAAACATTGTGAAAGCAGCAGTTTCATACCTACGCCCTTGAGAAGAAGGGATGTTAAAATATGCTTATTTTTGTGAACAGGTAACCAGGGGCGGCCCGTGAGCCCAGGCAAACTAGGCAGTTGCCTTGGGCGCCACTGGCCCAGGTGCCCGATGATGACGTCACAGCCATTGACGGCCGTGCAGATGGGGGCGCCGATCGTGCCTTCCGCCTGGGGTGCAAGCTGCCACAGCCGGCCTCAGGCCGCTCCTGCAGATAACAGAAGGAGGGTGCAGGCGGCTTAGTAGGAGCTGGCATTAGCAGGGTTGGGGAACCTTTTTTGGGACAGGGCCTGCTGACTCGCTGAAAAATCAAAGTGAGAAGAAAAAAAAACCCTCTCTGATGTGGCCCCCCCAACTGAGAAGAAGGACACTCCCCACATTCCCCACAGCCTGGGGGGGGGGAGGAGCAGCCTAGTAAATGTTGTGTGCTCCAGCCATGCGGTGGGGCAGCAGGGGGGCTGGAGCAACAGCACAGGCTCCCCAATGGGGAGGGGGACCCTGAGCTTCAGGGGCTAGATTCTGGCAAGCCGGGGACCGCATCTGGCCCCTGGGTTTCTTCACCCCTACACTAGGGATTCTATCAGAGGCAGCAGTGCGGGGTGGCAGGTGGGAGCTGGACCGCGAGGGGAGGCAGGTGTAAAAAGAACATCTCTGTGGGATGCAGAGCAGCCTCTGTCTGCAGGGAGCTTGGACACCCCCTCCGCTCCCCCTCACGGACAGAGGCTGCTTCGTGGCAGCCTCCACTGCCTCCACCCCCCGCACTGCTTCCTCTGATAGTTCGCTCTCTGATAGAGGCAGCGGCACAGGGGATGGCAGGTGACACCGGAGAGCACCTCTGATAGGTAGCAAGGAGCAGCGGGGGAGTGCGGGCAGTCGATAGGATTAACCGATACACCTAGGCTTATCAGTTAATCATTTACTTAACTATACGCTAACATCCCTAACTGGCAGGTGCTTACAAGCCAGTTCCCCATGCACACCAGCTTCTGTCTTGCCCTGCCGTCTGATACAGAGGCAGCAGGGGATGGGGGGAGTATAACAGAGTTAACCAAAGAGCCCAGGCTTATCCATTAGCCATATACATGGGTACACGTTAACATCCCTATTGAGAAGTCAAATGTTAAATGGCACTAAATGGACAATATTATGGTGGAACAGTAAGAGACCACAATTAAAATTACATCAGAGATTTCAGTTTTAAAATCCTTTCAAAGAAAACCAAGTTCACAGAGGCTTATATTAAAATTTGCCTATTTTGCCTTGCTTGACACCTCAGGTTTGATGGAGCAAGCCTAAAAATCTACACAGGTATCAAACAACTGAGCCAAAAGGGTTAAAAAAAGTGCCCAAGCTCTCAAAAAACCAAAACCTCCACACTTCACGGTGCCGTGAAGACTGGCCAGATCTGGGAGAAAACAGACAAAACTGGCAGAGGTGTTCAGCGAATGCTTGCAACCCTGGTACATATACTCTATTTCAAGTCAGGGTAGGCACTGCTTTCACTACCTACCCTGAAAGCTCCTGGCATCATGAAATCCTTATGACTTTTTTTTTCCTAGTTCAGGCACACCTGATAAGAGGAAGGAGACATTTTTAAATCATCCTATAGACCAAGAGCATGCAGGAAGTCAGAGGACCAAAATGACAATACTTCCCTATACCCCAGGGAGTTTCCCTACTAGCTCTGACAGCTGTTTGAGTCAGCAGAAAGTTTTGTGAAAGGTTATTGCAAGGATGTTTCAAGAGTAAATTTTCCCATCGTGATTTGTCGCGCAGTGGTTTACTCCACTACTGCATGGAGCATTTATTTTGCTTAATCAAAAGTAAACCTTGGAGTGAGTGGCTGGGGGGGGGAAGCAGGGGGGGCATCCTGTTCCATTCCATCATGGATGAATCACTGAAGACAACTTTCCCCACATTTCCTCACCTCTAGACAGGGTCAGGAGTCATTACCCCAGTCGCTGGATTGCTTTAGGCGGTGGCATCACACAGTGCTTAAGCTAGAGAAAGTTTTTTGGAATCAAACACATTTTACTCTCCCCCCCCCCCTTTTCAGGGGCACTATTTGTCATTAGCCTCCAAGAACAGCCCTTTAGGGCCTGTCTGACTCCTCCTCTCTAGCCCTGATGCTGGACTAGCCCTCCTGCCCGTTTCAACTTCAGTATCTCAGCTGGGCCCCCAACAGGGGAGACACCCTGCACCCACACCGAGCCGATCAATGACGGCTGTCCCGGCTTGCTAGATACCTGCATTCTCTAGGCAAGGTGATGGGGGGTTCCCCTGCCCTCCCAAACCTTCCATTCCTGAGAGGGGATGGGGCCCCCTATGCACCCCCATACCTGAGATGGTCTCCTGGTAGCCCTTGGTGAAGAACTGCATGGCAGTGGCTGGCCCCCCGGGGGGCCCGGGCAGGCCCCGCCCCG